AAGTAAGAGCATTTCCACACGCACAATGCGAAGGGAACTCAAGGGATTGGGACTGAACAGCTGTGTAGCCATAAGAAAACCACTAATCAGTGAGGCTAACCGGAAAAATAGGCTTCAATTTGCTAGGGAGCATAAAGATTGGACTGTGGAGCAATGGAAGAAGGTCATGTGGTCTGATGAGTCCAGATTTACCCTGTTCCAGAGTGATGGGTGAATCAGGGTAAGAAGAGAGGCAGGTGAAGTGATGCACCCACCATGCCTAGTGCCTACTGTACAAGCCTGTGGGGGCAGTGTTATGATCTGGGGTTGCTGCAGTTGGTCAGGTCTAGGTTCAGCAACAGTGTGTGCTCAAAGAATGAGGTCAACTGACTACCTGAATATACTGCATGACCAGGTTATTCCATCAATGGACTTTTTCTTCCCTGATGGCACAGGCATATTCCAAGATGACAATGCCAGGATTCATCGGGCTCAAAGTGTAAAAGACTAGTTCCGGGAGCATGACACGTCATTTTCACACATGGATTGGCCACCAGACCTCAACCCCATTGAGAATCTTTGGGATGTGCTAGAGCTAGGCTTTGCGCAGCGGTCAGACTCTACCATCATCAATGCAAGATCTTGGTGAAAAATTTATGCAACACTGGATAGAAATAAATCTTTTGACATTGCAGAGGCTTATCGAAACAATGCCACAGCGAATGCGTGCCGTAATCAAAGTTAAGGCGGTCCAACAAAGGATTAGAGTGAGTGACCTTTTTTTTTGGTGGCGACTTTTTTTTTTGGCCATGCAGTATATATATATATATAAAAACATCTTGGACTTAAATGGACATTTGGACTTCAATTTAACCATTCAGCTTTTTCTTCACGGACACTATGAAGTTATCGTTACTTGGGGTCCAAAAGTGAAGTAGCAGTGACTTAAAAGAATCATTGAACAAAATATCTTACGAGAACCTTTTAGAGGTCTTATGTAAAACATGTGTTTGTTCTGAGCCTCAATTAGAACCTGCAGGACAATCCAGAGTGAAAGTGTCATGGTTTTAGTTTTTATATGTGGGTTCCTTGTTTAAACCAGAGAAGCTGACAAGAGCACCACTCTCCAGAGTCTGACTTTAGTTCTCCTTTATCTAAGTCATTCATGGAAGGTTGCTAACGTTAGCCTGGCTTGCTATCACATGCATGTCTCTATACCAGCAAAAGAGGCAATTCCAGCAATTAGGGACTCACCTGTAGGCACTTGGTAAGTGTTGCTGCTTCTTTAAGTTTTTAGAAGGGGTCTGAATTAACTCAGTTTAGAAATGTTTTTTTTTCCAATATAGAATGAACAAACCTGAATCTAAAGATAATTTCAGAAGGATTGTGTATGTAAAATACTGTATTTATTATTTAAGAATCATGCTTTTTATTTAGTACTCATTGTTCTTGAGTGAGTGTGTCAAGATTAGTAACAGTCTGAGTTTTGTACCAAGTTTTGCTGCCAGTCTAGCAAAGGTCAGGCTCTCTAACCACTGGGCACAATCTAACAGTTATAGCACTAATCACTAACTTGTACAACTGGTACCTGCACCAACTTTAGATAACAAGTTTCATTGTCATGGCACAGAAAGTACAATCTTAGTTTGGTTGGCAGCATCTCATCAGAAACATTCTTTTGTGTTAAAATTGAACTGTATAATATTATATAATATAATAGAACCTGTATAATATTATATGATATAATAGAACAGAAAATCCCTTTATTATATAACCACTTATAAATAATATATAAATATCCCTATGAATATTATATATTTGTAAGGAAACTGAGCCTGTAACTCAAAAGTCAACTACTAAAATAGTTTTTCCTGTATTTCACAACAAAAGCTCACTAAAGTTAGCAGAACCTTTTACTGAAAACTAAAATACTATTGATATAGATACTATAGATACTATATAAAATACTATAGATTACACCTACCTTTATTTTCTAAACTAACTTAAATTATTACCTATATATAACACCTAGTTTTTCAGGTTTTCAGCGCAGGTTTTTTGCAATTAAATATGTGGTAGCTTAGTCAATTTATTTCACAAATTCTTGCAGTAAACTGTACAAAAGCAGAAATAAACTCTTGTACGCCATGCTCAACCTTTGATAGAACAGTGATAAATTAAGTGTACCTACCTTGTCAATGATGATTCGTAATATGAGGTAAAGTGTAATCTGTTCTCCACTCACTCAATATTTCAAGAGTTCTCTATCGAGCAGGAGGGCGCAGACATTTTTAAAATCAAGTACGCACCTAAAGTTGTTCCTAAAATTGAAGTCAGTCCAATCCAGAATTTAATGAAGTTATTCTATATCCAGGTTTAGGTTCCTCATCCACCAATGTTTGGATTAGGGTTAGCTGTCAGGGGACGAGATACACCTAAAGTATTAGGTTTAGTCCACAGACCTTGGGTTTGGGTTTCCTCCAGAACTTCTGATCTTTTGGGGGCTGACTAAACTTTATTGGTGAAAACATAAACGTTCAAGTATAGAGAAAACAATGTTCGAACACCCTTACAAACAGCAGTCGAATGTCAGTTAGGTAAAAAGCTTTAATTAGGGCATAAACTGAAACATTGAAAGTTTTAATTTAATCTAAAAAATTAAAAAATTTCACCAAATGAGCCAACATCTGGTGTTCCCTTCTAGTATAGATTATCAAAATGGCTGCTCTCTGCTACTAGAGTAAGATGCCTCTCATATATCTAAGATTTGATAATTTATGGCTTTGAAAGAAAGTCAAGTCTTTTGTTAAACTGTTGCAACCTGGAGAGGCTGTTGATACCTTAGTTCCAGAATTGACTATTGTAAAGCTCTTTCTGTCGGTTTACCCCAGTCATCACTTAGCTGTCTTCAACTTGTGCAGAATGGAGCAGCTTTTAGCTAATACTTCCAGACTGGACCATATTGCATCTGTTTTATGTTTACTATTATGGCTTCCTTTTCTTTTTAGAATTAAACATTTTATTTGTCTCTAAAGCACTGAATAAATCTGTTACCCCTTGCTCTGCCCTTATCTATAACTAATATCAGTTCTTATCTGAACTTGGCCCGTTTAAATCAAAAGATATGGTATTCGGACGGGCTTTTGGCAACTCTAAAGTGTGGTGACTTATCTTGTTTCATATTTGTTTGTTTATACTATTTGTTTTGGTTTTTTCTCTGCTTTAAACCTTTTATGCTTTTTATATACATTTTTTTAGTCCCCTCGTTGTGTAAATGGCTATATAAATAAATGTTCCCTATAATATAACTTGTAATACAGATTTTATTTTGAAGTTCCTATGAGTATAGCTTAAACCTGTGTTTGCCAATAGCCAGATGCTTTCAGTATATTATCAAAGCTGGAATAATAAAAGCATGTTTGCTGTTGACGTTCAAGAAAGGGTAAAAAAAAAAAATAAATAATAATTATTGGAAGTAAAACAAAACAAAAATTGTAAAGTGATTAATAATAGAACTTAATTTCAAGCCTATGTGTAACTTTATATGTGGCTACTTTGTAACCTCTTTTTTTGCTTTGTCTCAAAAATGAATTGCAGAAAAAAAAATCAATGTGCTGCAAAAAGCTGTGCATTTTGTAATATAGCATCACTTAAGCCTGACAATATTCATCACAAAAAAGCCTGTTTCATGAACATGTTTTTTATTGTCTTACAAATATTAAGTTATCCACAAAAAATAAAATAACTTAGATAATAACCATATTAAAACATAAAAATACAAACATACATTACATTTAACACTTAGAATACATAATGCTGACATTGTTCAAAGTTCTCCTGGATATTGTTTAGTATATGCAGACTACTTATCAGTTACATTGGTTGCATAATACCAGATTTCTGTTTTGAACACAGAAAATATATTGTTTAAAATAAATTACACTATCTGATAAGTAGCTTACTTATACTATTCCTTATATACTTTGAAGCTGACATCAGAATATCCCTATAAAACACACCGATAATTTGTGAAGCGAGTGAATGTACATACAACAAGGAGCTTACAGTGTTGCTCACAAGAAATGCATCACAAAACGGGAAAGACTGATTGAAGCCACTTTAGGATGCTAATAGGGTATGTGCAGCTGGGGCTTGTTTTTGTGCATTCAATTTCCTGATGTATCTAAAAAATTATTGATGGCAATTGTGAATTCTAACTCTTATTTTTTATTTACAGTGCTACCTAGATCATGTCAAAGATCAAATGTAGAGTTTTTGGGTCTATTGTGCACTCTGACCATCTTTTTAATGCACTTATCACATCACAACAGACTGGGAACTGAGAATGGTGTATCTTTGCTGTGCTATATGGTGGTCGAAAAACAGTGGCACAAACATTTTACAAGCATAGTGTTTTGAAGTGGTGCATGGATTTTAACTACTTTCTCCAGTTAAAGACAGTAAAGGTGTGCCATGAAGTATCCCATTAAGCAGCACCAACATCTAGCTTCAAATAAGCATTTTGGCCAACTTTATCCTTCGGCCTTTAAGTGACCATGGCTGTAGTGGTGTAATCAGTTTATTTCATGCTGGGAGTTGATTGTTGATCCACATCTTCTCCTGTCTTACCCTAATGAGGACCTGAACTCTTTGTTTTATCATTATTTTATAGCGTTATACTTCATAACACTCAATATAATAACAGTGATTGGGAGATAACACAACATATCAGTTAATCCTGCTCCGTCATATGTGCAACGTGATTAAACTGAGTTATGATGCCAAAGTTTTGTCTAGGTAGTGGTCAAGAAACATGAAAATGAATGGATTCTGGCAAAAGTTTCCATTCATGAATGTACTGTTAAGTGTATAGATAGTTTAAAATGTACAAAACAAATCAGAAATTTAAATAAAATAAAGATCTTATATCAATAAAGCTATTAAGAAATATTTTCTCTTTCATGCATTTCACTTTGCCTTGTAAGATTAATGCATAATTTTTATCAGTTAAGATGTTTTCGTTTTTTTATATAACTCTGCTCTCCAGTCTTCATAGTAAGGTGGTAAAGATCCTTTTTAAATCTGGCTTGTAGCAACTTCAGGCGCCTCCTGCATGTGCAATCTACACCGACCAACACAAGTTTCTTTGCCGCATTAATTGCGACACACTGTCCTTCTGTGACTGCTCTGCAACAAAAAAAACAAAAACAAACAAAAAAATGCAGTCCATGACAAAAAACAATGGGGCATTTGGCTGTTTTTCTCTTATGACTTGGGTCTTTTACTGTGTTTTTCTTCATTTACAAACACTAACCCACTCTTTTATCCTGCACTCTTCACAAACCACATAGCAGCACCAGTGGAACTTGCAGTTGCAGCGTTCGCTGCGTGTCTGTTGCAGGATATTGTGCCCCCTCCCACAGCACAGACTCTCACAGTTGTCCATTCCAGGGCTGGTCTTGTTGCAGATCCTGCCCTGTGTGCCCGCTGAGTCCGAACTAAGGTCCCGCTCACAAAAATCAGGCGACTTCTCGAAGTACACCAGGTCTCTGCTGTTGCGCCGCCGATGTGAGTGGTGGCTGTCTCGATGATTGTGATGGTGATGATGGTTGTGGTTGTTATGGTTTGAATGATCCAGTTGGCCGTTATTCCTGTTTTGAGCCTTGATAAAGGTGGCAACATGAAAACGCTCTTTTAGGATTGTGCCCACCAGCCGGAACTCTGGAGTGACCTGCCAACAGGTTTTAAGCTGGCAGCTCCCTGACGTCCCATGGCACTTGCATTTCCTTCTCATGTTGTCCAGCACCACCTAGAAGACAGCAGAGGTAGAAAGAGGGAGAGAGAGAGAGAGTAGAGCTTACTGAGTAAGGGGTATGATCAAGAAGAATAAAAATGTTTTCTTGCAATGTGTGTAGTGTTTAAAGCTTTACATACTAGTATGTACAACTAAATGTCTTTTAGCGGAGATTGGACCAACACAAAGCAGCACATTATTATAGAAAAACAATTTGAAAAGCATGACCCTATTCATTCTACCCTGATACCCATAAATTAAACTCCAGTCAACCATCTGTCTTCAATCGTCATCGGCTAAGTGAAAAGAATCTACATGTGTGTAATTTTTGGTCTGTAAAAAGGCCACAGATGATATTTGAAAGCTTTATGGGGTTGATAAGTATCATTAGCACACAAAGAGTATTACAAAGACCAAACATAACAAACAAGTCAGAGATGAAGTTGAGAGACTTTTAAAGCTGGTTTACTTTAGAAAGCAATATGTCAAGCTCTGAAAACCTCACAGGCCACTTTTCAGTCCAAAAATGGAATGCTTATAGAAGAACTGTAAACCTTACAAGACATGGTTAATCATCTATATTTACTAGTTAGGCAGAGAAAACTTTACTCAGAGAAGCACTCCAGGAGGGGATGGTAACTCTGAAGAAGCTGCTTAGATTTATTGCTCAGCTGTGAAAATCTGTTGACAATTAATCATGAACTAAAATAATCTAGTCTATGGAAGAGGAAGGCTAGCCATTACAGTAAGCCATGTAGGTGAAAAAGCAAAAATGTGGAAGTTGATGTCTTGGTCAAATCAATCCATTATTGGTCTCTTTGGTCTACAAGCAAAATCATACTGTATGTGTGAAGGGAAGCTACAGTAACACTGTTCATTGCCCTAACAATAAAGAGGCCCTATGGTGAAACATGGTGGAAACAGTGTCATCCTGTGGGTATACAGTTTTTTTTACCTAAGACAGTGCAGCCCTTTAGATCTAAAAGGTAGATAGATAAAAAAAAATCAGTTGTCCAGAAGCCATGCAGAGAACACCTCACTATCCTTAAATGAAAAGGACTATCTTCTTATTGTCATCATCTTATACATTGTCCTTATGTGACTTATTGGTTGGTTTCACTTATAACAACAAAAAAAGCATGCAGCCCTTTCCTCTGCAAATAAGTATCTCTTTATGGTGATCTATCATATTGAATGTAAATGAAACTGATTGACAGTTGTGGCTTTAAATTTAGAAAGGATCAACAGGTACAATTTATTGTTCAATGCAGTGCATCTACTGAACAAGTTTATTTTTCCCAAAGTCCTATGCATGCTTAATGACTAAGATCCATTGCAGAAATATATAGTTCCCCTGTGGGAAATCCAGGTGGTCTGACTCTGAGTATGTGGTTAAACCTACTGATATCAAATAACACAGTGGATGCAGGCAATACCCAAACAGACAGCATTGTCATTACTCATCGGTTGGTATGAAGTAATGACTCCAGGGATGACCCACATGTAACAGCATATTACACATCAGGGCATTGAGGGATTCACATATTTTCACTTTAATGGTTTAATCCTGGCCAGTGCAGCCAAACTGGATGCCAGAGGCAATCATTGTTTATCAAAAGTGTTCAGCATGTTCTGATAAAGGTTCAGATACACCTTGACATACAAATACATTTCATCATGAGGTCTGGAAATAATATTTGGGTAACTACTGTAGAGTCAGTATCCTGATCAGTAAACATAACCTTGCCTGTTTGATTCGATGTGCAGACATAAAAAACACAGAAACAAGTGCTGCACAAGCCATGTTCATTTCTGCAATGTGTGTGCTGGTGGGTGTTTATCAGTCAGCACCAGTCCAAAACTTTAAGATCCAATTACCAACAGGAACACCAGGCCACCCAGAGTACTGACAGATGCTACTGCTGCCGCCCCTATCAACAGACACACATACACACACTCACACACAGGTTTGGCATTAAAGACATTCTAAACATGTGCAAGCAATAAAGCTAGGAGGCTTTTAGAGAACTACTCGCCTTTACTGTTTAGAAACTACCGATGCAAAATTCCTTTTCATTGTGCCAAATAAAAAAATGTGCATAGTTCATAATGTCCCCAACAAAATGCTAAAGGATATTTGATGATAACAAATAACTTGCAGCAATATAGCAAGCTCCTCAATTGAGCTGAGGACTATTACAAATGAATAAGGATAAAGTTCCTCATAAAGTGGTTTTAGTGGCAACGAGTGACAGTCTTATGTTTTAGAAAGAAAAAAAAAACGTTGCCTTCTGATATTTTTAGAATAGGATTTTTTTTTCATTCTTGTTTTTAATTAACCACTGTTTATTTTTCTTCCACCTATTGAACCAAAAGTAAAAGAACTTCAATAATTTGGTCTTGTGTCGAAGTTCCTGACGTACTACTTCATTTATGCAATTTTTGCTATACTTTCAGCTGTACCTTCTCTTGATGTCATCAACCTTACAGCTAAAACCTAACCTGAATTAACATTCAAAATCCTTTAGTTGATGCAACCATTCCAAAAAAGGTAAGAGGAATTGATACTTAATAAAAACTTCTGTGTGTTCCACATTATTACAATGGAATGACTTTCTTAGTGCAGACGGAAGCTCTCAAATTAATTTCAGGCCTTGCTAAAAACAAACAAACAATTTCTGGAAAATCTAATATAGCCCACTTTCATTTTCAGAAAAGGAAAGTTGTGGAATGGCCAAAACAGAATCCAGAACTAAGTTGCAAGAAAAATCTAAGGGGTTACTTAAAAAGACCTTTAGACAAGAGATTTCCACACAATCAGAACCTCTTCTGAAAACATTCACCGTACATTGGCCAGCCAAGATGTTACAAATTAGTAGATGATCACTAGAGAAGATGCTGAATAATAAAAAAAAAAAGCTATATATAGTTTTATTTAAAGAGCATGCATAATTAGGCAGTCATTTTAATAATGGTCTTTTATCTATTCATGCTAAATCCCCACATATTGTGAGCTAAAATACAGGACTTGAAGATGCACCGTGCAAGCTCAAACTTGTAAATCTTGCAAGTAACCATTAAAGCAGCTTGCAGATATTATGGTTCATAGTTGCAACAGATTCAAGTCTGACCAGACAGATTCAGCAGGGACTGAACAACTAGTTTCTGTTGTGAATGAGCTTGATACTAAACACTTTACATACTCTAATAGAGGAAAGACATATGGTGGAAAGGAAAGTGGTAGAAGCTCTTAAAGCTCGGCAAATGAGAACAAAAATCCAAAGCTTGTTGCTGCAGGAGTCACAGGGCATGATTTTCTTTTCTACATTTGAGCAACGTTTAAGTGTTTTTTTTTTTAAAGTTTCTGTTCAGGGGTAAACTTAATCACAGGTCAAACTGCAAAAGACCATTTATTGAAGCCCAGAAGAAGAGATTTTCTTTTACAAGGATTTTGTCTAAGCTGGCTAAAAAACATATTTGTAAAAATTTTTTTCTTAAAATGTTTAGGGATGTGAAGTTGACTTGTAGTGTTTTTACCTTATAGCTACCCGACATTTTTACATTTTTTTCTCTGAACTGTTAAGATCCATCCCGCATAAAAATTATTTAAAAGTACTGATATATCTGGTTGAATAAATAATGTAATGATATAGTAAAAAAAAAAAAATGTTTTGCATCATTGCATGTTTTGGGTACCACTTGTTGAGATGAAAGAAAATAACCCACAATTTTGCTTTTTGTATAAAAAGTATTCAACTGATTTAGAGTGTTGAAAGGAAAGTTTAAAGGAGTTGTGATCAGTGGTGAGGGGATAATAAAGGCTGTAAGATTTCAGGGTAAACAACAGTAAAACAGTTCAAACAGCACTTGCACTGAGTTCAGAGTGCAGCTTAGCAAGTTTTTAGAAAGAGTCAGAGGCAACCCCAGAAACGCAAACGTCCGGGCCTTAAACACACAGTAAAGTCTGTAATCATGAAACGCTCCAGCCCACTTAAACCTTAAAGAGACAAACTGACCTAGGAGTCATAATTGCATCCACATTGCTACTGTTTGATGACAGGTCATTCACTGCGGGATATGAGGTTCAAAGAAGAGTAGGAAAGCATAAAAAAAAGCTTTTGTACGGTGTTATTTTGATGTATAAAACCTCCATATAACACACAAATTTAGCTTTATTTTGTGAAGAAATATTTACAGTTCTCTCTCTTTTTTTGCAATATATATTCTGGCTGATGGATAGATTTAGAGTAAGAATGATCAAACTATCTTTTCAGAAAGATTAAGCTAAGTACAGGAAACTGCTATAGCTGTTATAAGGTGGACAAATAAAAAGTCAACCACTCACTGGACCACTGCGTTTTACACAATCTTCTAACCCCCATTAAACCATTTCGTACCAGAATTGCTTTTTAGTATTGTATAAAACATATACAGTTTCAAGTAAGTAATGCTCTTGCAAGGCATCTAAGACTTCACTATATATAATCTGATCTTCAGCTAAGTTAGCCTGGCTCAGACATTTTGGCTTTATCTGAAAACTCTGAGATGCAAGGCACTGGACAAAGTGCTGTAAACTCCAAAACACGAGCACAAAAAAACACTGCAAACAAAGAAGAAATGAGCTTCAAACAGGTGAAAACATGCAGCGAACGGTGAAATGACCTGCAAACACATGTAAACACACAAAAATAACAACAGCTACATGCAATGCTGCAAACAGCAAAAACAGCAGAAAACTTGCTCTAAAGAAATGGAAGTGTTCACATAAGGGAGATAAAAAAAAGACCAAACCATATAGAACCAGCGTCCCTTATATGTTAATATATATAACTATGCTGTTATTCTGTAAAACTGCAAGACTATGTGTTTGACAATAAAATGAAAGATAACAAACCACTAATTTCTGCTTTTTTTTTTACTTTTTAAAAACATGTGTTAAAACTTAATTTCCTGTTTGTACTGAGGGTTTTGTCCGATATGATTTTAAAGCAATTTAGCTTATTTATATAGCACCA